TATGTTTATAGCAGCACAATTTGTGATAGCCAAATCTTGGAAACAACCAAGATGCCCATCACCTGAGGAATGGTTGAGAAAGATGTGGTATTTTTACACAGTGGAGGAGTATTCAGCTATTAAGAATGATAAATTCGAAACTTTTATATTGAAGTGGATGCCACTTGAACATATAATTCTAAGTAAAATAAACCAGACACATGTGTAAATATCGTATAGTTTCCCTAGTATAAGAACATAAACAAGTAATAGAAATGGAAAGGTTTAATACAAGTAAAAGGAAAGCAGGATTTCTAGGACTAATTAAAAGAGGGAAAGGAGAAGAGCTAGGAAACATGACAGTGACAAGCCATACAGTTGTATGTAGAAGATGGGCAAGGCAATGATCCTGAGACTCTCCAGAAGAGTTTTGAATCTAGCAGTTAATTGGTAAGATTCTCCCCCTCACTGACTATATATATACCTGTGAACTAAGCAACTGCATTGCAGATGGTAATCTGTAATAGTAGCTTCATGCTTGGAGTGCCTACAAGCTGCTTTTCATGACATGCCAGTTGCTGCTGTGCTGTCTTCTCGGGTAGATGATTGTTCAAAAAGAAGGGGGTGGTGAATGAAGGCAAGAGACAGGAAAAGGAATATTGTGAGACTGTCCTGCTTCAAGGTTGTATATGGTTAGATTTTTGGACTTACGTGTAAACAGAAGAAGTATATAATTCTTTATGCCTATTTTAAAAAACATATTGTAATAGTTATGTTTTTTCATCATATTCTGTAGGGACTTAAAGTTCAATATATCAATGCTTGATGAAAAATACCTATTCCTTGTTATGCCTAAGATGTTGGATATTCAGACAGATAGTAAGGTTAAGCTTAACAGCCTAGGTTGTATGGTAAGAACAATAAGCTTGTCTTCTGGAGGGTTAACAACCTAAATTTGCAGACCAAAATTAGAGAAAAAGGAGGGCTGCAAGAAAAGCCAACATTTTGGCCCTAGCCTTCCATGGTCAATTAAGACTCAGGACCTATGAGAACTTGTACTGTAACGTCATATAACTCGGCAGTGTCCCAAATTTTCTGATCAAGGAGGTTATGGGGCCAAAGAGGAAAGTGATCGATGATGTAGAGTGTGCCTAAGGAGAGTCACATGGAGAGAAAACATTCTCTCAGGC